TTATGTACATATATATTTGTTTTTGTTTGGTACACATACATATATATATTTGATACTCATTTGCGAAGCATTAGTGTGTCTTCTATTTCATCCCTTGAATGTATTCGAGCATCCTTGCTTGATGCTGTACTGTTGTGTAACATATACATATATGTAAAGTGTGTGCGTACTTGAGGCGTGTCATAACGACATTTGTATGCTACACTAGTGTTTTTGCATAATACCAGGCATAAGCACTTTGCGACATGTAAACATTTTGTCCAGTTGAAGGCGATAGGTAACTGAGTTAAAATTTTGGATAGCCATCTACAAGTGAAGGTGTATCACCGCCGGAATATGATTGCAATCCGATGAGAATCTACATGGACATCTCTTGGGTTGGTTCATGGTAAACGCAGAACGTTTCTATCGGCCGGTATTCGCACTCGACACTCATTCGCTCTCATATTTTGTAGGCCGCCAAGCTAGTAGGCAAACAAACTGCATACCGGCAGAAGATACAAAACTGCACGCAGAGCTTGCTGGATAACTTCTTGGCCGTTGTCAACGCCGCTCAGGTAGTGACTGTTTTCTCATGTGATTATGTAATACTGGGATTTACCCACTGTTCTACATTCATTCTCATGCGTGCTCACTCATAGTACATTTATGTATACAGAAAACAATCTTACTGAAATATCCAAATGTATCTTTGGAAAGATATCCGATTTCCATTGGAGTGCATGCGTAAATATTAATTGCTCCTCATCCTCTCTCATGGAGAATACATCCGCACTCCTAAATGCGTAGCCACGGATATTCTGAGGATTGCATTCAATTGCACTTAGTCTGAATTCTTCCTTTCCGCTTTACATTCCTCACCAATATGCTCGCACGCCGTATGGGTATCCGATTTTTGATCGAGTACTCAATCATCACTTTTCTGTAGTCCGTGAAAGCTGGGGCTCACGAAGTACACCAGCATTTTGCCTCAATTCAACTAATCTCATGGTCGTGTCACAAACTGTCTTGTTAATTCGAAGTAGATCAGTACGAAAGAAGAGGACGATGTCGGCGAGAACACGCAGATTGCCAAGGAACAATACGAGGTCGAGATTAAGACGCACAACATCGTAAGTGTATCACGATACCGAGATGTTCATATGAGTTGGATTACGTGTGTTTCAGTTATAATGTTTCATTTTCCTGTTGGTTATTTGTGTCGTGTCATGCTATGAATGCCTCCCTGTACAATAACTGAGGAAAATTTAATGACCTAGTAACATATTGTATTACAGTTCTGTGTCTTATTTGTCTTATGTCATCATAGTTCCGATACTTTCAAGTACTCGGATCGAATTTCCAATCTTTGTTTATAGGTGAAGGCGCGAGAGGCGCTAGTCAGCGTCATCTCAGAGCTGACCCTACTGTACATTGGCGAACACAGCTCTCATTCCTGTATATTTTACCAACACTATTTTGAACGTTACTGGTAGTTTTCGCAACACAATTCTTCTTTTTGCGTCTACCTTTCTCACCCCTATTTCATTTTCTGTTTCTAGGTAAGGGCGGCGGAGACGCTGATTTGCATTATCTCTGAATTGAAGGAGAAATACTTGTTCTCAGATTTCGACACACTCAACAAGAACGTAGAGAACGCAAACACGGCCTACGATGACTGCCGGGTATGTTACTGATACCAATTAGTGCTGTGTTAAGATTGGCGGGAGAGTTTATATGGATGTTGCAAACATCCTCCGAGAGCGTATGTCAACTTTGGTGGGAATGCAGGCCCTGAAACTCGGGGTTGGTGTTCCAGTTCCACTGTCAGTGTGCCTTGTATTATTCCAGCAGGTTTAGGTTTTGGTGGGAAATAGGCCAAGAACCGCAGACGAGTGATGACAATTTCATTTATCTGTGTGGCCGTTTTCTTGTGTTCTTGGGTTTCTGTGGGAAAAAAGATCAGTAAAGTCAGCGGGAATCTAGTTTTCGATATGATGGTCTGTTTCGTAATTTTAACCGGGGGTTGTCTTATAACTATCCTGCTGCTGTATCGTTGTATTTGGCGGCACTTTGTTGGCCAAATACCGTGACCTCCCTTGCAATATGAGCGCGCATATACTGGGACCTAGTTATGTGACACTGTTGTGTCTTCAATGCACTGGTACTGAGAGCATGTTCTATGACAGAATTGTAGCTCAAGTGTATCGAGACCGCGCACTGTGGCACAAATGCACCTTTAATGCAGATCGATCGTTGTGTTGGGCACTTTGGCAGCCTGGATGTACTGGGATCATGCTCGGAAGTATTTTAGAAGTGTGTTTCTGCTATTTCATGCAAGTTGTGGCTTGGGCCAAACCCCTTTCACAATTGCTCTTTAAAGCATACTTTCAAATTCTGGTGACTTTGAACTCACTGTTTCGAGTGCGCTTGTCACTTCCCCATTTGTGTATGTCAACTGACCCTTGTGCTGCGTGCTTGTACTAGAAGCGTGAGCATATTATCTCATGTATGTGCATATTCTTTTGAGAGTGTGCTTGTCTTCCCACCAGTATGTTCATTTTCCAGTTAGCATGCTTGTATTCTCATGAGTATGCCGAATCTCCCATGTATATGCTGGATTTGTGTGTGCCCACATCGTCTCAGGTTGTTGTTCGACTCCGAGGACGTTTACTATCTTCTCGTAGTTTTGCCCATACACTCCATCTGCGTTCTTAAAATGACGCATGTTCAGTTTCTCGCACATGTCGTATAGCCTCTCAAGCGACGCCTATTGTTTTATATGTACGATGGATTGTTCCGAAGCATTCTAGTCGTATCCGTGCGTGCCATTTCATACCCGCACGACTTGTTCACAGCCACAGCATGGGGAGATCCATACTGGTTTTCGTGTGTACCTTAGGATTATGAAATGCCAGTTTCACCTGTCACTACATAGTTCTAAATATACAACGTATACTCTAGTGTACAATGTCGTAATGCCTGAACTTCTACCACAGAATGAGTCAGAGGACGCACTGGCCGATCTTCAACGCGAGATCGCGGCCCATTTAGACGCCATCGAGACCTCCTTCTACACTGCTAGACTAACATGACCAGGGGGAACGAGGCAATACATTCATCAATGGCGATACGGGGGTGCTATTCAACGGAAACGATCAACATCGAACGCGTGACTTTGTCGATGTGCGATCTCTTGGGTACTCAGTGAGTCGAAATCCACGTTTATTGGACAACATGAGATTGATGCCCCGTATGAAAATGTGATAGCGACATCGTTTCACACTGTCGGGTTCACATCATCTTCGAGCCCTTTTTACTGATCTGAATGACTTGAGATACACATAAGATGCTGATACGACTTGGGGAGAAGGACTAACCATCAAAAGCCGCCGCCTTTTTATGGTAGAGTGCCCCCTTAGAATAAGTATACACCTTGCCTAACTGTGCAACATCGTACAGGTGTCGATTTGAGCAGTATAATGACTGCTCAGTCAATGAATCCCAAATAAATATTTAAAATAAAGCATGACTGTAAGACCTACAGACGCCCAAAAATATGTTGCAAGTCGCGTAGGTGTCGAACTTAGTGGTATCACAAAGTTCTCAATTGGGTGGGCTCAGAATAAATGACATGCGACTAGATACTGGTTTCTTCTGCTAACTGACTAATTATATCGAGATCAAATTGAGTTTTCTTACTGTGCTCTCCATATTGGTGCGCTTAAAGAAAAGTGTGCATCAGATACAAACGTCTGAAAATGGTATAATTCTGCCCACGGATTGCTTTCGCTGGGATAGAATTTTTTTCTTTTAGACATAGGGCGAAGCTGTCGTAAACCGACTGATAAAGCACCCAGTGGCATGCGCATTTATTACCATTTCCCCCAAATATGCAGATGTAGCTATACAGACTTGTCAAATTTATTTCGATATCACGCTAGATACCGTTAAGTATTTTGTGATAGCCCCTTCCCCAGGAATTAGATGCATTTTCAATGTTTTTAATGGAGAGCCTAGACCACAACCGGCAAGGGGTACGATTGTCCTCATAAGTTGTGTTCTTGCATTACTTTGTGTCTGTGTTATCAAAACAAGATACTGTGGAGTTTCCAAGTTTGCTCAGTGAATCATCGCATCCGCATATAAGTCAAGTTAATACATAGTTCAAACATAACGAACAGCACTGCCGAACCCTTTGCTGGAAAAAATTGTATCAGCCGAGACATCTGCACGCAAAGCGATCGAAATAGTATTTACAAGGGGAGTAAGCTCGACACGAGTATTTGGGCAGGTATTTGTAGTAGTGCAAGTTGTGCCCAGCCCCGATCTCTAAAGAGAGTGGGAATATTTCGAGTAGATGTCCAGCATTAGTTCAACAAAATAAGACAGCAGGGTGTCGGGAATGACTATTTTCGATTCCTATTTTTGTAGTTGCGCTCTAAGCCAGACCACCGATATTCACATATTTTGAATATTATAATAGAAGTTCACAATCAGCACTCGTTTGCGATTGTGATTGAGGTTTCAGGAAGTTGGGACCACCAATGGCTTGAGGTGACCGACCTCCGAAGGGTTAAACCAGAAACTTTTTCAATCCTTAACGAAAAACCTCAATAACTAGTGGCCACACTCGAAAAATCAGGTCCATATTTATTGGTGATTTTAAGATACACACATACGCATACCAACTTCTTATAAAATTTTATGAGAGAAATCTTCCGCTGAGCTGCTGTTGTGCTTTTGACTTTCCATCGCACAGGTATTTCAAATAAATTTGAGCGTTTCGTCGTGGATATCGGACGCAAATGTCTCTCTAAGCTTAGAAATACATAAGTCAAATCATTTACCTTGAGCCTAGCCAGTCTTCATTATGTATGTACAAAATATCCGCATCACAAATAGTAGTTGACTCCACCGACAAAATATATCGAAGTATCTAAAGAATTGTCTTTCTTTATTTACAATTTCCCCGCAGCAGTAGCGTCCAAAAACCACATGACGCCATCTTCATTGGCGCATTTAACCAAGCCGGAAGGATAGTTGTTACTGTTACCTTCCTTATGTATGTTGTACACAACATCTGCCTTGGCAGCGCCCGAAGTGACAAATGCAACGTTGCGAGCAGCCTCACATACGGGGTACGTCAGTGTCACACGTCTGAAGCAGATGAGAATGATTATAAGATATTGTTAGCTTGCAATCACATTGACTGATAGCTAAGCCGAGTCTCGTGCATATATTGATACGAATGCGACACGGGATATCACACCAGTAAATATAGTGTCACAACAACAATTAGAAACTGATATAGTGATGTAGAATAATATGCAAGCACCACATTGTCCAACAATGTGCATCGTAATATGTCTGACCAGATAGATTGAAGTATCAATTGTAGCGCGCCATTCATGTAAAGCACAGCTGCCAAAACGCATAGCAAACCAGAACACATGTCATGACCCTCAACAATTGTGATACACTTCCACCAATACAAAGCAAACAGAAAAAGAATCAATACCTCCGGTACCCTATCCCCATATACATACAGTATAGATACCAAGACCCTATCCCAAACATGCTACCTACTTTGATGGTGGCTTGGGACTGTCTGCTAATGATGCCACGAGTTTTGTGCGTTCTTCCAACAGGGCGTGGCCCGGGAACAGAGAAAGCGTATGTCCGTCTGGGCCCATTCCCAATAAGACAAGATCAAACACAGGTGGTTGAGGCGCATCGCAAGCGCCGAAGACACTCGCAAGGGTCTTCTCGTACTTTGCAGCGACTTCCTAAATGGTTTATATTATGATTGAATTAGTATACTTGTGACTCCGCGCGGACCTGTGCACGGTACCAGCCACACACAAACATAAACTTCGCGTATTTGTTTTGTAAGTACGCTGTATAATTGTATGTATAAATATATTTGTATGTGTTTGGGTAAATACCTGACAAAATATATTATATACAATTTGTAGGTAAGTCGCTCAATAAGGTGTAATGCAACGATTTGATGCCAATATGATGGGAGACAGGCATGCATGCGTTATTAGATGGATTCGACAATAAACGTTGAAGGCACGAATTATGCATAACAACGATATACATCAGAATACGTTAATGTATAGCATACTCCACCCATAAAGATTCGGTGTTGTATATTCATATCTGGGGCAGGTAGGTGCAAGGACGTGGCATTATTTTAACATCGGCTATTTACATCAAGCAATCAAGGGCATACAACTATGACTCCATCCTTACAGCATTCTGAATGGTATGGACACATGCAGGGTACATCTCCAAGGCACGGCAGGCTTCAGCGATGTAAGAATATATTGTGCGTACATACAGTATATGCATTAGATAAGATACGCTTTGATAGTTCGCCGAGGAAAATTGAGAGTACGGCAATCCGGAGCGGAAGACATTGTACAATATCACAACACCCAAAATTATCTTACCTCTACATCCTCGCTGTAGTCGATAGCGTGCACATTGTCGGCGCATGAAATACTCAGCGGATCGTAAATCTGGGTCTTGCATTCCAAATGATTGCTATCGGCGTGATCCAGAGGAACGCTACGCTCATCGGCATAGAGGAATTGCCATTTGCTGAAATCAATCTGTATATATCGAGACAATTGGAACGTATTCCGTACGGATGTTTCAGATTCCAGTTCGATTCCTGGGCTAAGTATTATTCACTCTGTACCGAGCATACCATTCTCACAGAGCATCGGTAAGATTATAGGCATGGGATCTCTCAATCAACCCATAATTTAAGCTCGATCGTTTCGGCCGCAAAATAGAGTCTGGTTATGTATCCAAGAGGGATCGTTTTTGTGTATCTTACGTTGGATACCTTTTTACACTTCACGTGAAGACATTGACTAGAGTTGACAGACACAAGCAGTAGACAATAAAGGAAACTCGATTACGAATACTAAATAGCCTCAAAATAAACGATTCTTGGAGAAGTAATTCTTACGGAAGAGCAACATACCTTACTTTCTTCGTTCATGTGCAACAAACCCGATCCCAATGTCTTCGGCAGAGAACCTCCAGAAACCGCAACGGTGAATTTTCCACGCGCAGCTATGGCTTTGTCTGACAGCAAATGAAAGAGGCTTAAAAATCAAATTCAACTATTGTATTCTCAAAGGCAGATGTGCGTACTTAAACGTTTGAAAATAGAAGACAGTATGCAACACAAGTAATATAACACATGAATACAAATTGAGATGCACTAAAACGCCTACAAATTGAAATCCCAAGGTAGATGTGTGTTTCAAAGCGTTTGAAAATAATAATTAAACGCACAAGCAGAGTAATATACGAAAATACCAACGTAAAACGTAAAGGTATATAAATATACATGAAACATATCACACATACATGCATATACTTTGGTATATATATATATATGAACGCAAATATAAATATAAGTACTTTAATAAATGGTAATACACATCAATACAGACACTAACAAACCTTATATCTCTATTATATGAATATATATATATATATATATATACATTATATCTCTATTATATGAATATATATATATATAAATATATATATATATATATATATATAAATATAAATACAAATATATAAATATATATATAAACGCAAATATATGTATATAAGTATTTTATATGTATATACACATAAACACACACACACACAAACACATATATATATATATATGTTTATACATACATATATATATATATATATAATAATAATATTAATATATATACATATATATATATATATATATACATATATATATATATATTTCACGTTGACTGATAACATAGTTAGCGTACGTTCAAACACACACATAATGAACAATTTTTATAATTCTAATATATTTTCCTGCGTATTGAAAATATAGGCAGATACGAAGAAGTAGTATGTTTTGAAATGTGCAATAGAGCTTTTAAATGTAACAGAAAATGCGTAAATGCCCGATCTTGAACATAGATGGGTAAAGAATCGCGCATGCACAATGTATTAGAATTCCAAGTTCGAAGGATTTTTTTTTGCCTTGTTTTCGCTTGTAGCACTGTGGTTGTCTGTCTCTTTACAAGCATGACCTGAGCTTACCTGCAATAGCCGTGATGTACTTGGCGAGTTTTAAGCCAACCTCTGGCACAGTGGGTGCTGTTTCTACCTGAGTCATATTTAGTTAGCTGTACTGTCAGACGAGTCGTTTATGCTTCGATGCTTCGATGTTGACGTGAGAGACCCAGGTATATATGCCTTCTAAAAACATACATTTAGGCGATGTTTGCGTGTTGAAATCCATAATGATGAATGATGAATGGTGTCGAAACTCGAGTCTGTCCAGCACCATTTTAGGGCACCTCATTGACGACCTCTGTTCGTTTCTCGTTGGAACGTTTTAAAAATCAGTCATTTTTGCGTTAATATAATATTTTCAACTGGGTGTAATTCTCGAAAGCAGATAACCGTATCCTCGTTTTTATAATCCAACGTTTACTTTCTTAGTGTAAAATGAATTTTCACGCTTTTTTTCATGTATAATTTGTATTTAAAAAAAAATAGGTTTGGGTGTTCGTCACGAGCGAAGATAAGCCAATAATAAAACCCTAAACCCTAAAAATAATATTACGTACGTCAAGATGACGTATGCATCTGAACCTAGCCAACAGCCAACAGGCAACAGATCTGAAGGGGAAAAAACACCTGCGCGGCTGCGCCTACTCTACTCTAGTACTCTCTACATACCACATAATATGTAGTAGAGCAGGCACTACTATTTGGAGACTGAGAGAGGCAGTTTGTAGGAGTATTTGTTTATTTTAGTACTCGACGGTCGTTGTGCGATGAACCGTGTCGGGACTCGGGAGTCTCGGGTGGTGTATGCCTTCCTCGTGTTACGAATCGTAGCCGATTGCGGGACTGGTGATATGTAACACGATCATTTGATATATTTACTCACTCTCCCTTCACATTGACGCTGGCGTTTATGCGAGGCAGTGTATTTGATAGGCCACTAGTGAATGAAACCTCGGAATAACATAGGACCAATCGCGCTCTAAAAAGCTTATATAGGATTACTTCTGAGATGGATGATTTTGCGAAGTTCGATTATCAGGGGCATCAGTACTACGCAGTACTCGATAAGTTTGCCAGGTATTTGAACTAATAGATACCTGATTGTGCATGCACCAAATGCAATGCACTAACTGGGAACATATACTGGAAATGTACATGCTTTCATACCTATTCGAGCTTCGTCCCCGCCGCAAGTAACTAAAGTTGACATATGATGATACCATTGTAGTCAGCGGGCGGCGTCACTCAAGGTGATATCAACGTTGCTAGGCCTTAGAGAGAAAATATCGACTTATTTTTACTTCGTGTTGTGTGCATATGTACGTCAAATACAAACACGAAGGCAATATATATATATATATATATACACACACACACACACACACACACACACACACACACACACACATATA